CCAGACGACCCCTCGGCCTGTGCCAGCCACCAGCCTGGCACCGCCGCGGCCAGGTCCCCCGAGGCCGTGCCCTTCTGCCCTCAGCACTTTGCAGACTGAAGGGAAACGGGCATGGAATAAAGCGATCGCCCCACGGGTGGCCGCGTCACGTTCTGGGCCACATCTGCCCCCACGCCCACAAGCGGCTGGCAGAGCCCTGGCTCATGAGGTGCGCTCGGCCTCAGAATGGCCGGTCATACATGGGAGGCAGCTCCTGCCCCAGCGTGGCTTCCTGGTGCGGTGGCATGGCTGCTCCTGCCCCAGGAGACCGCGGCCGGGGAGGCAGTCAGTGGGTACGGACAGGCAGTGCCGGGCAGAGGACCGGCACGGGCGAGGCTCAGACCAGATGTGGGCCTTGAAACGGGGGCACAGGGGGCGCTGTCGGCACGGGGCAGGGCTGGGCTGTGGGGCTTTCGGCACCGGGGCCAGATAGCCGGGAACCCTGATGGCCCGTCCACGCGGTGTCCTCAGTGCCAAGTACTGTGGCAGCCACTGCACAGCCTGGGTCTGCTGGGTCTACACTGCAGCTCCCCAAACCCTCATGCTGGAGCTTCGACCAAGGCGGCACCGTTGGAGGCATGAGGGCATGAGGGCTCTGCCCGGGGGTTGGGGTCTGAGCCCTTTCAAGAGACCTGGGAGCCACCCAGCCCGTACAGGACACAGCACCGAGGTGCCCTCGCCAGGCAGGCTCCCCAGCGCCTGGGTCTCAGGCCGCCCTCTCCAGAGCCGTGAAGAATGGCCACTCGCAGGGTCTGCACACACGTGGCAGGGCCGTCTCTCACAGTGCAGGGTGGAGCCTCGCACCTGGGGTCACTGCTCACAGTTGGACTGGCTGGGGCAGACAGCGGGGACTCTCTGCTGCAGCGTAGAACCATCAGAACACCCCTCACTCACACTGGGGCACAGCCGGCACCCACAGCTGCGAGCACACCTACGCAACCAGCATGAGCCATGCCAGGCTGGCAGCAGCACAGCCTGGAGGCCTGGGGCCCGCCGGCTGGGCTTGGCCACGCCAACCTGCTGGGAGAGAGGCTCTGTGGCTGCTCGACCTAAGGCGCGACACCAGGCTACGTGTGTCACGCAGGGTGTGCACGTCCTTGGTTGTCACCTGCATGTGGTTGGCAGGCAGGGTCCTGGAAGGGGGTCCACTTCCCTGGCTCTCTTGAGATCTGGGCTCCAGAACCCAGCAGTGTGGGGAGGCTGTGGGCAAAGGGCCCTGGAGCCTGCCCACAGTCCCGGCACGAGCTGCTGGCAGAGGACCTGGTGGCACCACATGCAGTGGCCAACCTCTCAGCAAGCCCCGAAAACAGAGGCTCAGGAGCAGGGCGTGCGCCGTGGCAAGGCTTCTTGCCCAGGCGCTCTGCCGGGGGAGCAGCTGCCATCAGCTACTGTCCACGCGTGCAGGGCCTGCGGAGGGCTCTCTCTCCAGGACGGTCTCTGTGCCTTGCTGTTGCTGTTTTTAATGATTTAATTTTATTATCACTTTTTTTTTTGAAAAGGTTTTTGCTATGGGGCGCATGCACTCGCCAGACAGACAGAGACAGACATAGAGACAGAAAGTGAGAAAACACCCCCCAGGGGGGATGGCCACGCTGCAATCCCTTCTCCTCCATTCTCCTCTCGGGATCTTGGGCACGCACG